ATGTGGGCCAATTTCCATTGTTACAGTAGATTGCATTTCCTTCTTTTCCAGTTATCAGCGGTAGCTTTGAAGCTGGTAAACCGTTAGAGTTCACAAGGCTGAACAGAAACGATTTGAGGGCTTTTTTGTGGCTGGCTCCACCAGCTAAACAAAATCAACGAAAGATATGTAGATTAAACTGTGATTTATAAAACCCCAATACTAATTACTGAGAATTTGAAACCTTTGCATTGCTTTAATCGCTAACAAGAGATTAAGCTCAATTTTTTCAGCAACGGATGTATGTTGCGAGCCCGCACATGAGACTCAACTTATTTTCTGCGCTTCACGTTAGTATCATATGAAACATCTTCGATCAACCCACTTTTGTCAGCAAGATGTTTTCGAATTATTGCGTAAAACTTGATTTGAATCGCAACTTCAAATAGAGCAACACTCTTGAGCGGTAACGTTGTATTACTTCAGTGGGAAGAGCATTTGAAAACCTTTGCTCTCCTAGATGTAGTCAGTTTCTCGGTCTACTGTGTACTCCATACTTAACTGCATAATCGCATAAAGGGAAAGATCTTCTGTCTTCTTAATAAACTGAATAATGTTTGTAGCCGCGTGTCAGTTTGTTTAAGACACGCAACTTAACATGACCGAAGTTGAAAGCACGAAAGAAAAGCAAGGAGTTATGGGTTTTCTCGTGCCCAATTTCCATCGCGCGCACAGGTAGTCCATTGCACACAGCTCAGGCCTCACCAGGCAACAAATTAGTCGCTTTAACTCTCTTGTCAAAAGATTTGGGAAGATGCATAAAAACTTACCGGGTTGATACCATTGTTCCTCAGTATATCCTCCAAAGATAGAATTTCACTCTTCATCACTGTTAGTGTTGGCCCCTCTCGGTGGCAAATGGAGTGAAAGTTGGAAGCATTCCAGCCATTCCGGGTGGCGTGGTACAACAAAACGTAGTCTTCACTTGCACTCTCAAGCCTGTCTCTCAACCAGTCGATCAAGATATGACGTTGCTCTGAGGAGAGGATCACTGAGTCCTGAAAAGGTTGTGCCTTCAGCTCACTGAGTATTCCTTCGATTTGATAGAATTCGGCCTCGCTTAACAGCTCCTTGCGAACGACTGTATCTTCGGGTAGCAAGAGTTTCCCAGTCCGAAGATAATTTAGGATGTACCGGAAGTTGGTTCCATCTCGATCAATGAAGTAGGTTCCATCCTCGCCAGGTTTTGTGCCAAATCTTCCTGAAAACATGGCATGTAACACAGAACCTGGAAAAACACGATAACAGAAAACTCTATGTTGCTGCCTCAGTCATTGAAAGGTCGTGATGAGGAACAAGTTCAACGGGATCGATATGAAAGCAGAGAAAGCACATTTTCCAAATATGAACATGCTTTATGGATGATCCATGGATGATCAACGACACATTAAAAACTGTAAATCAAATTCAATCGAACAAATGGCAAAGAGTTAATTACTCGTTTCTAAGATCGGACTACTTGAAAAACTGACAATAAAGAATTTTTTTCACGACACAGAACGCAATATTTTTTTCATTTTCACCGAACCATTGCCGAAAGCCATTCAGATCAAATATTTCGATAACTAAATTTCAGACCTCTGATTACACAACAAATGCATTGACTAATGCCTAAAGTACCTGGATCTTTATTCATGGTTTCCAAACTGGTCGAGAAGAGATGACCGCCAACATTGAGTTTCAACATCGTCGAGAAATGAACATGTTCCAGTTTCTTTGCAACCTCTTCAAAAGCTTCTTTTTCTTTGCGAACTTTGCTTATCTCGCGCCTTAAAATACCGAATGCATTAGTAATGTGTTTGTTCACTTCATCCAGAGCCTTGTCGTCGGGTAAATCCTTCTTTGAACTGCCAGAGGAAGACAGCTCCGTTTTTCTCGCGTCGTTGTACTTGTGTGAGTCACCTTTCTTCGAAATACGGTTGGAAAGCATTTTAACTCTCTCTAACAAGGCGTCGACAGGTACCAAATGCAGAAAGTGTTTCAAGAATGAACAAAAGCTTCTTTGTCTACATATTTCGCGGAAAATGCACGAGGTCTTGATTTATTCTCGGTATTCCGATTTCTCGGAAACAACTGGCCTTTTAGGACGTTTAGTCATGCATTGATATGAAAATTCATATGCGTTTCATGGTCCACTTCGTTTCGCGTGCTACTTTATACAAGCATTGAACTAGTCACAACACGCAAGACTGTTTTGACACATCCCTAACCGTCCTGAGACATCGTTGTAGTTTACGAAAATTGAATTTTGTGTGAAATTTCCGACACAAACTAATAAATCCTTCATGGAGCTTTAAGGAAGTGGAACGCGTTATGAGCACTCAGCAGCCCTTTCTGGCTTTATCAAGAACTGATCCGACAAGGTTAGATATGGGTTAACCGCTTACAAGGAATTACAAGATGCCAGGACCGTTAAACCAAATAAATTAAATCACCGTAGGTACCTTTCCTGAGAAACTAATTCAGAGAAATTGTTTTCGCTAAAAACCTAAAATCTTCAGAAAAGACAAGTCTTTACGAGGTTTTGTGTTCATACGTATCATTTTTTTTCAATGAGCAGGTCATAAGTCAAAGTAGAGGAAATAACTTGTCATGTTCTCAAGGGCGGATCCAAGATTTAGTAAAGGGGGGTTCGGAGAATCCTCCACCTTCCGGTTAATATCCTCGCGGATCTCCAGCCAGAAACAGTTTTCGCAAACGTTTTTTTTTTTTTTTTTTTTTTTTTAATAACTCAAGATTGTGTAAGTAACAACAACCCAACTAATTAACTGATAAACAAATCTTGAAAATCAAAAACAAAAAGAGATTGTTTACAAACCAGATCAGTCCAATAACAAAGTTTTAAAAACCTCTTAGTTCTCAAATCCAGGATCAGGGACATGATTTAACCATGAGGAAATTTACACACTAGCAAACGTTTACAAAGTCAGCTGAAATCTCATCAGGAAGGGAAAAAATGACAAAAACGCCTCTAATTTTTGAACATAAACACTTCCATCTCTTGCACAGTGAAGTTTTGATTCCCTGTTAAAAAAAGGTTACCGTTCTGACCAGCTGGGGACTGGTACGTGTTACCAAGGCTAACGGAGCAGTTGTGAGAATTTGGAGAGTTGCATATAGAGAGGTCAGGTCCAGTTCCAAATGTTGGACCACTGCTACTGTAAAGTAGATGGCGTTACCTTCTTGATCATCTCTCAAAGGCATCTTTGTTGGTGGCAGACCACTGGCATTGACAAGGCTGAACAGGAAAGAACCCGGAGCTCTTTTGTACAATGCAGTACCTGACAAAAAATATGTGCTGAGTTAGATGGGTTGTATACCATTTCTCAAAAGTAAATAGGGATAAGACCACGACAAGAAATTGTCATGGCAATGATCAATGTCTGTGCTTGTGGGTGAGAGTTGTCCCTTTCTGGTCAGTGCATCATGACCTCTGAAAAAACACTCTGCCCTTAGCTTAGCGTGGAATGAGACTGAAATTCACTATTCCTTGAAAGGAAGGAAGTTAACTAGTCACACTTTTTAAAAATAGTTTAATCAAAGGCTGTAATTTCACTATGTAGGTTTTAACAGTGACAAAACTTAGGTAAAAGTATATAGGAAGTATTCCCGCCCATCAACAAAAGTCCCTCTGAGATGAGGGACTCCTTTAAAACTCAAGATTCCCATTCAGGGGAATGGTCAGTAAAAGAGGTTTAGTCCATGGAAATATGAGCAGGCTGACAACTCTATTATATCACTGTACAAGAAAGAAGAGGGGGTTAATAAGATCGTCCTGTGGATTTTTTCTGAGCGTTATAAATTTTGGAAATTGTGAAACAGGGTACTTACTGGATGTTTCGTATATGAAGTTCACACTATGGGTTATAAAGCTTCCAGGAGCAAGCTGTTACTGATTGTCAGTCTAATTTGGGGTTTTTTTATTATTGCAAAAGTGGCACTTCCTGACCAATTCAAGTTTANCCTTGCGCACGAGTGATTTCTCGAGCCAACTGTTTCAAAGTGAAAGCTACAGCCTCCGTCAATGTCCTTGTATCATGTAAAATCTGTTAGACCCGCAGTTGTTGTTCATTCTCCACTTCTCTCGTTTGCACATCCCTACCTCTAAGTGTCTACATTTCCGGCTACCAAAAAATAAAATCACTAACTTTTGGCATTTCCGTGTGTTTAAAAAACACGTTTCATCTTCACTTAAAAGACGACTAAAACTTTCCTGACCTATCGAAGTTCGTTGATTTTTAACAAGCTTTATACTCTAGATAATGGTGAAATTACCTGGATCTTTAGTCATGGTTACTAGACTGGTGGTGAATATATGGCCGCCTACATTGAGTTTCAACATCTTCGAGAATTGAACATGTTCAAGTTTCTACGCCACCTCGTCAAAGGCCTCCTTCTCCTTGCGAAGCTTGTTCGTCTCCCGCTTCAGAATGTCATGGACGTCATTAATGTGCTTGTGGAGTTCTTGGAAGGCTCCATCACTGGCTGAATCCTCTGCATCTACAGGCTTGTGCGATGGAAACATCTTACAGAGTAGTTAGTTCCCTAAGTTCTGTATGGCTGTTGCGTTAATCTTTGACACTCATTTGAAATTCGCTTCATGATGCGGGTTTTTTGACAACTAAATGTTATCATCTCCTATTAAAAGTTAATTTGCGTATATCCCAAAGCGTAGTCATTTCCGTGTAACGATAGTGCAAGAATACTTTATTCACTTTTTTAATTATTAATTATCCACACATTTAACTGAAACTATTGGCGCTAATTTGACCTCATGTACAACATGAAAATTTTCAGAACACCATGCTGCAAGAATTTTCCCCTTTAATAACTGACTGCTTTTTTTTTCTTTCAAATTAAATACACCTCTCTTGCTTTGGTTTTCACGGTTTAGTTTTGTCGACTATGTAAGAAAAGGAAGGATAACATCAATCCATCATCATATTTATCATATTTATTTGATAAGGAGGGTTTTTTCTACGCTCTGTCTTTTCAGTTGATAATTTAAATGTTTGATTATCAGTCTTTGATCTGCCTCACAAAGTGTACTACGTTGGAATCCATAAGCTGTGGTGAGCCTACAGTAAAACAAAACTTATCCAAAGCATCGATAACGAGATGTGATCCCTAATTAACAAACAGACACTGTCATATATTAAATGTCCGTCTCGCAACAAAGTGTAGCCATACACCTTTCATTTTGAAAACAAAACACATCCATCTCACCGACAGAACAACGACTTCATTATCCAGCGAGACAACTCAGCAAAGCTTTTAATATCTGACTACGTAAAACAGGGAAAGAAATAAAAAGTAAACGAGATATGATAAGAACAGCCACTGATCTTAGTTCACTTTCGATTAGTTTTGCTTCTTGAAACCAAACACCTCCATTTCACTGACAGAAAAATTCCCACTTCCCGCTAAAAACTTTTGAGCATCCTGACCTGTAGGGCACTGATAAGTGTTGCCAAGGTTTGTATAGCAGTTGCCAGAATTCGGTGCATTGGCGACATAAAGATCGTGGTTTCCTCCAAATGTAGGCCCATAGTTACTATGGCAATAGATGGAGTTTGATTCGTTTCCAGGTGTCAGAGAGATCTTTGTTGGTGGTAGACCACCTGGGTTTACAAGACTGAACAGGAACGATGTTAGTGCTCTTTTAAACGATCCAGAACCTAATGAATAAGAATACATAAATGGATAAATAGCGATAGCTTTCATCTGGCGCAAATATTTGCATGGATATTTGTTCATGGACATCATTTGTTGCGATATTTTAACACCAAATAGAGGCTACTGTAATTATTATCATTCTAATATTTTTGCAAGGCGCGAGAAAAAAGCGTTTGTGAGGTCTAAGAACAGTTTTTAATATACTGTTAACTGCGAGAGAAATTCACTTTTCTGTTTCCAACAAACGTTTCTATTCTTCCGAAAGTAAAACGATCTCTCATCTTGACAGGGTGAGATAACAGAGACAGAAAGAAAGAGAGAGAATCTTTCTCAGACGAACATCCGATTGTATTTAAGTCCTAGATCTTGAGTTAATTCCTAAATATAACTTAAATACCTAAGACCTACCATGCGCAGGTGACTGCCACGGATGTTGAGAATACCCTCCAAATATGTAATCTCCACTCTTGATCACTGTAACTGTTGGTCCTTTGTTATCACAACAGGAATGAAAGTTGGAGGCATTCCAGCCATCTCGAGAGGCGCGGTATAATAATTTATTACTGACGTTGTCCAGGGCTGGAGTTTTCTTCAACCACTTCATCAAAGTTTTGCCTTGGTCTCTTGAGAGGATCTCAGACCCCTCAAAGGCAGGCTTTGGTGTCAACGCTTTTATCATCCCTTCAACGTGATAAAATTTGGCCTCGATCAACAGTTCATGACGAACAGTCTTATCATCGGGGACGACAAGCTCCCCTGTGCGAAGGTAATTCAGGATGTAACGGAAGTGGGTTCCATCTCGATCAATGAAGTAGGTTCCATCCTCGTCAGGTTTGGTGTCAAACCGTCCGGAAAACATAGCGTGTAACATGGAACCTAAAAAAATGATAATCACAAATCGCATTAAATTTGATTCATCTCGAAATATTTCTGAATTTTTCAATGGATTAGTAAGGAAAGCCTTCTCTTTTTCTTCTTTATTCGCTTTGTTCTTGAGGTTAAAATACGCTTCCAAGGCTTGATATTTTCTTTTCATTTTTTGATGTTCAGCTAACCTGGGAGAAGTTTGATTTCCAACGAGCGATCACTTAAAATTAAAAGTTCATAAGTCTTCAAGGGATCTACTCAATGGTTCGCAATGCGGAGATTGTAATCAGTACCAGTCTCCACCATCCTCGTTACTTTTCGATTCCTTCCTACCTATTAGCTTTTTTAATACTCTAACAGACTTCTATTGCATCGTTTAGATTCTCCTTGGCGCTCTTAGTGACTCGATATATCATGGCACCATAGCAATATTTAGAATCAATTTCGCAATCCTTTAACAGTGGGTAAGATACACGGTCTAAGATACCTGGATCTTTTTTCATGGTCGACAAGCTTGTCGAGAAAAGGTGTCCTCCAACATTCAGTTTTAGCATCTTCGAGAAGTGGACATGTTCGAGCTTCTTCGCCACGTCTTCGAACGTCTCCCTTTCCTTGCGAACTTTGTTCGCCTCCTGGTTCAGTATGTCGTTGACTCCTTTAATGTACTTGTTAACTTCTTCAAAAGCTTCAGCACTGGGTAAGTCGAACGCTTCTTCGAGCTTTCTCGGCGAAGACATCTTTCTTTACTGGAACAACAAGACACTTCAGTGCGGAAAAAAATAATGCTTTTAGTAGATAAGCAAAGCTACCATAAACAATGGATTCCGTTAATCATTTCATTTTCCGGGAACGATGAATGATTTATTACTGAGTGGCCACACAGCCCGTAACGTATGTCTCAACAAACGCGATTAAGAAAATTCTGTTTTTCATCACAGAGTGGAGGACTTCCTCAAAGTACTTCTTAACGTTATTCCGCTCTTGGTTTTGGTAAATTGCGTGTGAATTTCTCACTCTTACGAACATAGCTGAGTCGAATGATAGAATATTCGTAAATGTCTACAAAAAAAAAAAACAAAACAAAACAAAACATTTTCCAGGCTATATTTCCCTTGAAAATAGTTTAGGAAAACTGTTACAGAGGTGTAAATAATATCACAGAGAGGACAGTTAGATAGCTTAGAGTTTATCGAACAGGGGAAAATTGGTCAAGAACGCTACTTTTCTCTTCCTTTCTAATTACAGCATTTTTCAGTTGTGAAATAATACGCACACTTTGAGCAGATTGTTCGTAAGGCAATTTGCGCCTAACTCTTAAAATCTAAGCGGCATGGTCTTGATTTATTTTGTAAAACTTGATTTGAATCGCAACTTCAAGTGGAGCAACACTCTTGATCGCATGAGCGGTAGCATTGTATTACTTCACTGGGAAGAGCATTTGAAAACCTTTGCTCTCCTAGATGTAGTCAGTTTCTCGGTCTACTGTGTAATCCATTCTTAACTGCATAATCGCATAAAAGAAAAAAATTTCTGTCTTCTTAATAAACTGAATACTGTTTGGAGCCGCGTGTCAGTTTGTTTAAGACACGCAACTTAACATGACCGAAGTTGAAAGCACGAGAGACTGGTTACAATTAAGAAAAGCAAGGAGTTATGGGTTTTCTCGTGCCCAATTTCCATCGCACGCACAGGTATTCCATTGCACACAGCTCAGGCCTCATGGGGCAACAAATTAGTCGCTTTAACTCTGTTGTTAAAAGATTTGGGAAGAAGCATAAAAACTTACCGGGTTGATACTAATGTTCCTCAGTATATCCTCCAAAGATGGAATTTCCACTCTTAATAACTGTTACTGTTGGCCCCTTTCGGTCGCAAAAGGAGTGAAAGTTGGAAGCATTCTAGCCATTCCGGGTGGCGCGGTACAACAAAACGTAGTCGTCACTTGCACTCTCAAGCCTGTCTCTCAACCAGTCGATCAAGATATGACGTTGCTCTGAGGAGAGGATTACTTAATCCTGAAAAGGTTGTGCCTTCAGCTCACTGAGTATTCCTTCAATTTGATAGAATTCGGCCTCGCTTAACAGCTCCCTGCGAACGACTGTATCTTCGGGTAGCACGAGTTTCCCAGTCCGAAGATAATTTAGGATGCACCGGAAGTGGGTTCCATCTCGATCAATGAAGTAGGTTCCATCCTCGCCAGGTTTTGTGTCAAATCTTCCTGAAAACATGGCAGGTAACACAGAACCTGGAAAAACACGATAACAGAAAACTCTATGTTGCTGCCTCAGTCATCAAAAAGTCGTAATGAGGAACAAGTTCAACGGGATCGATAGGAAAGCAGACAAAGCACGTTTTCCAAATATGAACATGCTTTAAATAGGGCTTCAAGTTGGAGAATATTTCATAGGTGTTTAATTGACAGATCATGACGAATAGAAAAATCATTTTTAATCCATGGATGATCAACGACACATTGCAAATTGTAAATCAAATTCAATCGAACAAATGGCAAAGGGTTAATTACTCGTTTCTAAGATCGGACTACTTGAAAAAATGACAATGAAGAATTTCTTTCACAACATAGAACGCAATATTTCTTTCATTTTCAGCGAACCATTGCTGAAAGCCATTCAAATCAAACATTTCGATAACTAAATTTCAGACCTCTGATTACATGCACAGCAAATGCGTTGACTAATGCCTAAAGTACCTGGATCTTTATTCATGGTTTCCAAACTGGTCGAGAAGAGATGACAGCCAACATTGAGTTTCAACATCGTCGAGAAATGAACATGTTCCAGTTTCTTTGCAACCTCTTCAAAAGCTTCTTTTTCTTTGCGAACCTTGCTTATCTCGCGCCTTAAAATACCGAATGCATTAGTAATGTGTTTGTTCACTTCATCCAGAGCCTCGTCGTCGGGTAAATCCTTCTTTGAACTGCCAGAGGAAGACAGCTCCGTTTTTTCCGCGTCGTTGTA